TTAGAAGACGAAGAATGACATAGTATAAGGCCAGAGTATATTTATAGCCTATAAAATTAATTACGAAATAATATATTAATTCCATTGATTATAGATCTAGTATCGTAGTAACATTTTGAAAAAGACAAGGGAAAAGCCACGTAGTCAAAACCACACGGCTACTGGACAAAAATTATTCTTTACTGGTTACTCTCTAATACCATCACTGAAATTAGAACATCACACTTCCCTCTAGAAACCACAGAGCGTCAGTTTCATTAAACTAAAAGAAACTACAAACACAAGACGTCTAAGAAAATATATACGTCTCCAATCATATATCGTTTTTCCACTCTGACGTTGAGACGGTGTTACGGAGCGCTGGCTTACAGATTTTCTGGCTCGGAGCTAAGCATCTTTTAATGCCCCCATCAGATGTTTCTGAGTGCAGACGGTTTATTGTAGTAGAAAATGATTCATGGTAGCTTTAATATTGCTCAGTTATAGTAAAATAAAGAAACAGGTATAAAAAAATGCTACCAGCCAGAAGATGTACAAAACTCGAATGAGCTCGTCTGCCGTGTAATTTATATGCGCTTTATGAACGAAGGTTTCTCACTGAGGCGGTCCAGGTTCGTTCCTACGGCAATGCACATCAGGATTCGTGGCGGACAAAGTGGTACTGGGACAATACTTCGCTTTTCCTCTGTCAGTATCATTCAAACAATGCTTCATATTCTGGGGATTGACAGCGTTCCCCTTAGCGGCCCTGTTCCACACCGACACAGCCCCACTCCAACGTAACAATAACAACAAATAACGTACCAACTGAATTCTTACTGGAAACGACTTGTGTCAAAATTCTGTCAGCATGTTTCACCTCCTTAAATACTTCTGTGAAATTTGATACTGGTGTGTTACAGTAAACGTTGAAGGAAAATTTTAGTTTACGTACGTACATACACACACACACACACATATATACAAACAAACAAATAAACATGTTTGCCTGAAAATGTCAAGGGAAGAGACCACCTCGAATATTCAGAAGAAGACAGGAGGCATGCTTATAATGAAATCCAAAACGAACTTCTAATTTTTCCATTTAAAACATGTTTCCATGAAAACCAGAATCCTCAACACAAAATACATTAGAATAAATGTCCACAGTTTTAGGGTCCAAATCAAATTTCACTAAATTCTGTTACATATGTAGGATTGACAGTAATCTTTTGAGTAAAAGTGGATACATCTCTTTTATTCGTTCTATTCCTTCTTTTCCATTGTGCATCAAAGTGTTCTGAACACATTCTGTCTACTGTCTGTAAGTCTATGTGTATAATTTATCTTAGGAGCTTTGTTCAGTAGACCAGCCGTAGCCTCTTTACAATTGTAATTAAGAACTGCCCCTTATGGTCCCTCGAGCAATTTCAGAAATCAGTTGAACACAGCTTACTGACCACTGGAGAAACATGTAAATGGCAAAGATGGTTTCAGAGTAATTAAATCCTTCAGAATCGTGATATTCACACAGACGAAACTTAATCACAACCAAATTATTTTGTTGGAATTTCAAAACTGTGGACTGACACTCTGGAATGAGGAAAGCGATTTTGGAATGTTAAGAATATGACAGAGGCCCTTTCGAGTTTCACATTTCCGAACACAAAACTGATCAACAGATCAAATTGTTCGTGTTTCCGTTTCGCTTTTTCTATTCCTGTCCTCTGTCCTCTTTCCTCCTTCCCCCTTTTTTATTGTATTTATTCTTTCCTTTCAATTTTGTTCTTTTCCACTCAAGACCTGACAGGTTATCCTCATACATGTCATCTTCGGCATCACACTTCTGCCCATACATTCGTTTGTCGTATCTTAAACTTACGGCATTAATGTTGCTGAAATGTGGCTCATAGAGTTTAACGGATTGTTTTTTTCGATCGGACACTAATTACATCATCAACACAACAACCGCACAGTGTCGAGGACAAGTACTTATACCTGAAGTCAACACTGACGTCAAGGTTGATCCACACAACATGTACTTCCATACTATTTTAAAACGTCACGTGGTTTGGGCTGTGATCTAATAAGACGTGTTTCGACAATAAATAGTCCACTTTGTGTAAATGGTTACAAGTGATGTAGAGCCCGATGTGGCCTACGGGACACCAGCTGAACAACAATGGCTTTGCATATACAGCGGCAAAGGCAATTAAGAATGGTTAAGTATGAGCGAGAACTATAGAGGTGTAACCCTATTATGTACGGTCTATAAAATATTTACCTATTTACTGCGGAAAAGACTGGAGGAAGATTATAATAAAATTATAGGGGAATACCAATCAGGACCTTCCACGGTGGTCTAGCGGTCAGAACACTAGCCTTGTAAGCCTGGGGTCCCGGGTTCAATTCCCGGTGGTGCTCAAATTTATAACTTGTGTTGGGCAAGGCCGTGGTCTAGGCATCACGGAGTTTTCCTCCGGGGGCTTCCCCGGTTTCTCCGTGGCATCCCAACAATTACTCCACTCACACACACAGAAGAAGGCAATGACAAACCACTTCTGGATCATCTGCCAAGAACGTATATATGTATGAGCAGGTCCCTGATAACCTGAAGAGGATGGAAGGATCCTGTTCATAATATATGGACCTGTCGTTAGACAGAACACTACAAATAAAAATAAAAAGTATGAGCGAATTAGGAAGGAGAATGTCGTGGCCTATTTTGAGGTGCTATATCGGCATTCGCCTGACCAGCATGACGGCGACTATGAACAGTCCCAGTCAAGACGATGGTTTCACTTCCCAAGTTGCTTTCTGCAACGGAAAATTTTTGTGTTATGAGGCCAATGGAACAGCGTATTTGTAAACAAGCGTATCCTAAAAACATTTACGCTTTTTCCTCTTGATTAATGCGAAAGGGGGCATGTCTTTGTAGTTCTTTTAAATTATGATCTTTGTTCGCACTGTGTTACTGATTGTCCGGATGCCTTCATGGCTATATTGAATCCTGATTCACGTGAGACGTCTTGTAATGTCAGGCTGAAAGAGCCTCCGATTGCATCCAACGAGCTTTGTGACAGGACACAAAAACACACAGCACACACGTTCAACAAGGAGCACTGATCAACGCAACACCCAAGCGGACAACACTTTGACACTGAAGAAAGTAGGCCTGTCTCTAAAATCGAACAAGTGACTCGCGGACTACGGAATTTTCATTAAGCTATAATGTACAGACCCGCTCTGGAGTTCACTCAACCTCGTACCCAGTGGGTGCCTGGAGTTCTTTCTTCAGGTTAAATCGGACAGGGCTTCATAAAGGAAACGCGTATGAATATACTTTTAATAATTATTTTTCCTTTAATTTAATTACTCGTCATGCCCGCCCTTACAAATTTCTTTAAAAGAGGATAAGTACCATTTTACGTCACGTGCTCAAAATGGCCGCCACAAAGAGACTGTAGTCGAGGGATGGCCACTGTATCTTGACTTCCGCATCAGTAAGTATAATGCGGAGCTCCAAGTTCAAGGCTCTAAAGACTGACTTTTACATACTACCCGCCGCGAGAACCTGAAAACATGCTATACGCTCAAAAGTTGTATTTATGCATAGGAGCCTGCTTGACAGCTAATCAGGAATGTGGGTGGAGACAGTTCTCTTGTTCATCAAAAATTATGGTGTAAACCATACTAATATAGTTATAACGAAAGAAAAGCCGTGTGCAAATACGTTTGCCCCCCCCCTCCTCCTTCTCCTCCGAGCAACTTTTGGATCACTGGGCATATTTAAATGAAAATCGGTACGAATCGTTCCAGTAGAGGTTACATTATCTATGTAAAATGTTTTAATTTCCTATCACCAACGAAACAACAGAACATCGATTACGGTTTTGCTTATTTTTTAAGAGTTTATAGTAATATTTGTGTAAAGTGGCATACGGTCCTTGTTTTCCAAGGTCGCTCTTGCGCAGGCGCATGAACTAATACACAACAGCTTAAATGCACCTGCCTGTCTCAGTAGCCACTAAAATATCGTGCCACACGTGTGTTTTGCGGCTGTACTATTCGCAATTTTTATAACTGTTTCCCTGAGTTCGAAAAACCTCGCATCTTTCAAATTTCAGCCACAAGAGTCGATGTCATTCTAATAAACACAAACACTTATATTTTAATGTTTATCTATTATATTAAGTATAATGTTTCCTGTTTCAATGATAACCCTGTTTTCACATAACGTTTTAAATTCGCGCATCGACGTTTTACCGTTAGCAAAGTTTTTCAAAATCGTCGAACGGATGCCGTACAAACGACTGTACAAACATCTGAGGTGAGATTAACACCCACTGCACGATCCGGAGATTTGGAGTGGTAATATTAACATGTTAAAAATCTAAGTATAACTGCGGTTGATGTATTTTTGTAAATAGCAAAAGAAGAACAGGGTGACCGTGAAATATACAATACATGAGTACGTGTACATATGTACATAGGTTTCGGAGTTTTGACAATAATACACGACCAATTGAGCTAGGATAGTTAATTTTTGTACGGAGATAAAGCATCAGCGTTCCTACAGATCCTGTATAAAACACTTTTATCCGTTCTCAGTTAGACACATGGCAACGGTGTGAAATGCGGTCTTGAATCTGACAAATTTTGCATAATCGAACTTTGTAGAGAAATGTGGACTTGCGTTAACAAATTGTATATAACCCGAATTGTGGTCAAATGGAAAGCATGCAGTATAGGAGTGGAACATTAAATTGTAGAATAGGCCTATAGTTTTCTCTAGCCTTGTCATATAGATTCATGCATCTAAAATCAGGTTATCTGCAGCAAACGTTTTCCATAATTACTAGTTATTCGCTGAAATTAATCTTTTAACCTCAGACTAATAAGCTTACTCAGGTACTAAAAATAATTAGTCGTTCAACCGACCATTTAGATTGTCCCAACAATTTACACATCAAAGTTCCCAGAAACAATTACGACATAACATATCGTTTTCTGAAACTGACCTGCCTGGCAGTGGCGACCGCCTCTTCCCAGCGGGCACTGACAGCGCTGTTCTCCGGGACGGTCGGAGTCAACAGCGTCCATTGCGCAGGACCCACCGACACCACAATCCAGCAAACACGGAACAACGTCCGTTACACGAAGGCTCTCCGTTGTTTGTTCGTTACTGCCCGTGCTGCTGGGGACTTTCTGCTCCAGGTTCGGACTCTGGGTCGTCACGAATTGAACTTTTTTCTCCGTGTCTTCAGATGTGGGAGAAGGAAGGACAATGTTCCCTCTCACATCACCACTTGTGTCCAGCTCGGCTGAGAAAGACGCGTCCTTTTGATACAATATGTCTTCCTCCTCTTCAATGATAGTCTCCATCGTCGTGTTCATTTCTAGAAAGAAGAACGATAATTACTGCAGCAGGTTTTAATTTTTAACAGGAGGCTAGATGTGGCTATTGGAAGTGACCAGGGTCAACACTCCCCTGACGTTTCCCTAAATTATTCACAGCCCTAGGGTGACGAGTGAATTTTTGTTTTAACGAATATGATTTATCACAATTTTTCAAGCTCCGTACATACTCTCACGTGTATTAGCCATGGACACTTCGGATTGCATCACCTACGATATGAGTTCTGATGACGCAATTTAGAATTCGGTACAAGATCTCGGAAGATGGCAGGCGTAACACACAGAATTCACTGTAGGGAGGGTGGGGGAACATGTTCTAGTCCCGATGTGTCTCAATTAACCGGAATCCACTGTACTTGTAGTGTAGGCCTACAGCCCTTCATCACAGTGAGACCAACTGTCACGCTTATTAAAAACAAATAGGTAATTTATTAAAATAACAAACTTTCTGGGAGTTATTTATGATCTTACTAAAATTAAAACACGATGTTTTGGAGAGTGTAGTCTGTCTCCATTCCGTCTCCAGACATTTATTGTTTAATATATCTTGACATACCATGTTCCTCTTCCATAATTATTTAAGGTGCAATAGGTAAATTATTTGTGTTTCATTTCGTCCCAATTGGATCAGCTAAGGAAAGCGCTAAGTATGAAACTGCCTAAATAAATAAATGTGTGTGAGTATACATAAATAATCAATGAATGAACGAATATATTACTTAACAACAAATGGCTAAACACATTAATAAATATATATATTTAAATGTATAAATAAATACACGCTTGAGTGTATAAACAAAGTAATTTACTAAAAAATTATAAATCAATAAGAAGAAAATAAGTAAATGAATATGGAAATAAATAATAGAAATGAATAATAAATAAAGAAAGGAATAAACAGCCAAGTACATAACTAATTAAATAACTGAACAAGTAGCAAAATAAACAACTTAAAACAAAATAAATGCACATATATACACTTAACAACAACAAACGGCAAATTCATAATAGACCATAGTATGTTATGGCGCGTTTTTTGCGTGATATGCACAAAACGGACGCGTAGTACGATCATGTCTATCAGACTGGTTGTCCACATGTTTCAACTCCAGAAACGCTAGAAGGATTCTGACGACATTTTGTATGGCCTTAATGTCATTGCATGTCACCCAAATCTCGTACAATCCTACCATGAGTACGTGGATGACGCACGAATTTTTGAGGTGTGAGCGATACTAGATTCACTTAACTGTGTCATGAAATGATTGCAGCCTGATATATCTGATACTTTGAAATGTATTCTGTTTGATTATCTATTCACAGCTATTTGCACAGTAGCCCACACCAAACACACTATAATTAACTGTTAATGTAGCAAAGTTGCTATCACACCAATCACGATAGGCCTTTCAATTGTTAATTCATCTAATTCAAACGTATATGGTCTACTACAAATATACAACTAGAAGCATTCAGAATGCCACGGTGCAAAGGGCGCATGTGGAAACTGCGTGTACTTCGGAACACATTGCACCTTTCCAATAATTAAACTATTAAACTATTTTACTACTACTAAACTTCCTAGCGGGAAAGCCCCTTTAAATTCTAAGGGCTTTGGTTTCTTTCTTGTCCTCATAAAATCCTCTTTTAAGTACTCATACTAATATTTCGTTTGCACATTAAGGTTATCACAGCTGTCTAGGGAGTTAATAAACTGTTTTCATGCGTTCGTCTCGGACATGCAGGCATGTACGTATTTCTTCTGTTTTGTATTGCGTCCTGTGTAAAGTCCTGTGATGGGCAGATCCACAGTCTAGATAGTCCTAAAAATCCCCAAGGATTCATAGTTTCAAAGTTAATTCTGATTCGGAAAATGTAAGTGACCTAATATTTGAAAAATTAAGATGAGAAGAAGATATACAGATCATAAACCTCTTCATTATGTAATTTTCTCAATCACACTGTTTTTTTCTTTCCCACAATTCCAAATATTTTCTTCAACACTTCCTTCCCAAACAAACTTAATGTATTTTAACTACAAATTCACAGCTAAGAGGAAGAAGAATACGTAAAGAATCCTATTTCGTATTCGCGAAGGACTTACTTCGAATTTCGGCATGAACACTTGCTTTGTGTCAGAGTTACGTAACTTTTCATAGGCGTAAATGCCCTTCTCTCGCTAGTTACATCAGCTTTAACATAACTCAACAAAATGGCTGACATTGACAGTCTTAAAACATTCTCCACCAAGTTGTATACGCTACACAACGTCATAAATCACTCTTGCCAGCTGCAAATTCGAAGTGTCCAATTTTGACTACTTCAGAATTCTTCTTAAACCCTTCCTTACAAGGTTTAATAAAAATTGCTAGTCGACTTGGCCGGTGTTCATGGTACACTGAGTTCCAATCCCATCAGGTAGGCTCACTCTTCCAGAAGAACGAAAAAATTGAAAAGGAAGACGTAACACAAAATCCCATTTCTCACATGCTCTTTAACAGCCAAACATGGACGTATTTCGTGGCAGTACAACGTGTACGGCAAAGGTGGATTTTATCTGTTTTCAAGCCTTTATCGGTTTTCTTAAAAACAATCTTGCTTTTTATCCCCAATTCGCGTTTTCGAGAACTGCTTAGTGTTTATATCTTTGAAATGCCAGCCACATGGAAACAAGAAGGTTATTTCAACAAAATTTTGAATAAGTGCGAACTGTGTAAAAATGCGTTGCGAAAGGGCTCCTACAAAGCAACCAGGGTAAAACACGGAAATATATTTTTAAACAGGTATTATGTAACAAACTATCTTACGGAATTTAAAGTTATCTTTTATATTAACTTACAAACTTAAAAAGAAGGAAAATAGTAAAAAAAACTCACTAAGCACCCAAATAAATTAATAAAACCACCGAGAAAGGCCGTCTTAAGTTTGTATTTAACTAATCAAGAAATTCCCTATTTCATGGAACTAAAATGCTGATAACTCTGTAAACACAAATGAGCCACTGGTGCCAACCGACTCGGTCTATTTTTTATAAACAATTTTAATTGCACCTACATGAATGTCTGTGCTTCAAGAAATATCTTCACTTCAGAGTTTCCGACGTATAATTTGTATGCACTTTTCGTTTCCTCGATGCGTGCTACGTGATGTGATCGCCCTAGCCGAGTTCCCCTATAGGCCTGTGTGACTTTTTCCAGGCACTTTATACCTCACCTGTGTAACATGAAACTAGGCCTAGCTTCTTAGGTCCTACTTTAGTTTTATTCACTCTCAGTGTACATTAAATTGTTATTTTTCTTTTTTCATCAATAGTCTGGGTGTTTATTACAACCATAATGTTTCTGAACTTAGTTGTACTTGCGCCTTCTGGTGAAAGGAGAACGGAAGCCTAATCTGTCGGACTCCATAGTCGATGAGACAGTCTCAAACCTATCAAGGCTTTTGAACTCCTTTCAACTGAAGGCGGAAGTAGAATGAAGTACCGAAAGTAGGATTTGAGGTTTTCATGGCAGTGAGTCTGAAGATGGCTGTCTTTTGGGTTTTTTCGCCGTGTAGTCTGGTCGTCCTGATGACGGAGGCAGCATGACCTCTGAAACGTTGGTGGACATCTAGCATACTACACGGCGCAAAAACCCAGAAGACAGCAATCTTCGAAATACTGAAATTTTGTGCTTTAACCCATTAACGCCCAATGGTAATTGTATGTCTCGTCTGCTTCAATAATTAATTACTCTTAATTTTAAATTTGTGAGTTTCGTATGATTCTCATTATAAACAGCGATCTTTTCTTTAAACAGCACCAACCATCTGATTTATGTGATGGCGGAGAGTTCTGCTTCCTTTCCGGTACGAATTTAATTCTTATATATTATGCAGGCAAGTTTTGGCTGCAAAGAGTTGATAATACCCAAACTTCCAAACTCTCAATGTATGTCCTTTGATTATGGCACGACACCAACTTCTCCAGTCACGTAAAACAGCAGGAAATATTTCAGTCTGTGTGTTTTAAACTCTTCGCTTTGTGTTGGGGAAAGAATTATGACGTGAATCGCAGAAAATATTTCTCATATTGATCATGAATACTATCATGTTCGTTACTGTCACATTAACATATACTTTCAAAATACTATGTATTATTATTATTATCCCATCTATTCACCACTTTATGGGGTATGTACTTCTATGTACCCGAGACAGACCTTGTCCCTAAGGTACATAGGGCAGCAGCTATTTCCGGGATACATATTGTTTTTAGCAAGTGCTACATGTAGTATATAATTTTATTTTATGACAGCGTCTTTCGGATGATGTTTGAAGTTCCCAAAATGGCGGTCTTCTGCAGTTCCCTGATGTCGTGTTCGCCCGGGACGTTAGCCAAATATTTTCTGAGCGACCTGGAGACAGTTCCTGTTGCTTATTATTATTATTATTATTATTATTATTATTATTATTATTATTATTATTATTATTATTATTATTATTATTATTATTATTATTATTATTATTATTATTATTATTATTATTATTATTATTATTATTATTATTATTATTATTATTATTATTATTATTATTATTATTATTATTATTATTATTATTATTATTATTATTATTATTATTATTATTATTATTATTATTATTATTATTATTATTATTATTATTAT